AGAGAGAGAGAGAGAGAGAGAGAGAGAGAGAGAGAGAGAGAGAGAGAGAGATATGAACTTTTGACCCATTACACGAAGCGGCCACGAGGTTGCTCTGAAGTAACAGCATTGTAATCTCCAGGACAGGCAGGGTTGTTTTTCGTTCTCCCGGATGTGAATTAGCAACAAGGGGAATTACAATTAAGTATAACAATATACTCTGACGAAAACATACTGACTGGGAAGGCAACATTTACAGTTTACAGTGCGTGGTTAAGACGAAGGGTTGAATTAAGCCTACACGCAAAAATAGGCCTTCTGTAGAAGGGACATAGAACCAAGGCCTAAGCAATTATCTCGAACAAGGGGGCCTTTTTTGCTTTGGCCTGAAAAATGAAGGCATGGCTGGAAACAGGAGAGAGAACGATCAGTAGTCAATAATTTTCTGCTCTTTTTTCTTCTTATATAATGATAATAGATCTAATTTTTAAACACAGGATAGTTGTCGTGCTCAGAATGTTTGCCCGTGCCAACACTTCTACATTAATTGTAACCTTGTCACGCCACGAAATTCCTAAGATCTTGCGGCGGCAACTGAGATGTAAAATGTCGAGGCGCTTTTCTTGTCTGCTGTACAAGGTCCATAAAGATCCATAAAGGAGTGTGCTGGGGACACATGCTTCGTAAATCTTGATCTTTGTTTTGATGGTTAGTCTTTTGTTTTCCCGTGCTCGTTTTGCCAGCCTTCTAAAAGTTGTTGCTGCTTTCCCTATCCTGGTGCTGATCTCATATTCAAGTGATGTAGTAGAGCTGATGGTACACCCCAGGTAACAGAACTTGTCCACTGTCTCAAGTTCCTTGTCGTTCAGCCATATATGGCGGGGAACTCTGTGCAACCACTTTCCAAAGAAGAAATTTACTTGTTAATTCGATCCATAGGCCCTACGCTTTGCAAGCAGAATGTCTATTTTTGAGAAATACAGAAAGTTTCAAAGAGATCTTCGTACTAGAAGTATTCTATAAAGTGAAGGATACAACAACAGGTGTACAAAAAGACCACAGGGCGCACGGATATGGGTAAGCCTAATCCCAGAATATGCTCTAAGCTCTGTACAATGCTGAATTATCATTCACGTTTTAACTGGAGAATTAAAGGAAAGAAAATGCAAATTGTGAGATCATTTGACATCAAACTAAATACTCGTACGTTAGTATTGTTAGTAATGGAGCTCGCGATTGTGACATCACCCATGTAAACGAACAACTGCTGAGGCTGCGGTTGCCCACTCGGGGGCACTGAGCGGCCATGTTTGAGAGGTACAGAACCTGCGCTGTAACGCTGGGAATCTCTCGCAACCACAGAATTCTACAGTGTAAAATTCTGAATTCTGTGCTCGCAACACGTCATGCCTCATGGCCTTCATATAGTGCGAAGCGTTGAGCCTACAGCGAGCTATTAGGCCAAGTTCATTTTTAAAAAAGTGTTTTTTGTGTTGTTGTTGTTGTTGTTGCTTGCTGTTGTTGTTTAATCATGTAACGTACATCATGCATACTCTATACCGCACCTACTGACCGATTTGGGGAATATAAATTGCACTCACGAGGGCTATAAATGAACAATAGACTGTGTTGTAATGCAATGTAAATGCTGAGTGTGATGTCAGAGCTTTTATGAAGGGTGTTAAGACTTTGTACATTTTATATAAAAATAAAATTTATTTTTGTCTCAAAATGAGCAATTTCTTGGCTAGAGTTATAAATTATTCATCGTACTTATCCTGTGTATGCACCCAAGGGGCGGTGTTTATTAACATAGGGCACAAAGAAACTCTTCAACTGACTCAAGATTGTTTTCATTTAAATGTTTGAGCCACGGCCCACGAGGAGTGCCATGCAAAATATCGTGCGCAAAGGCAAATTGATAAAGGGGCTAGAATTTGATTTTTTCCCACTCATACAGACGAAAGTGAACAAGCTATATGTATAAATATGTTAACTCATACTAATACCAAAGATTCTCTTCGTAGAAAATCTTTGCTAATACTATTTACGTATGGAAGCTGTAATTTCTCTCCATCTCACGCCAGTTGATAGGCCTACACCCAAGCACGACACATGTGCACCATCGTTATTTCTGTAGACTACACTGTATTACCGTTTTAGTATTTCCACTATATTGTCGTTACTGGTGAGCTCCTTATTTAAAATATGTATGCCCTCATGTCTGACACGCGTGACGTCACAGCGCGAGCTCTAGCACCAACCCCTTTGCTTCACACACACACACACACACACACACACACACACACACACACACACAAACACACACACACACACTCACACTACTACGAGTCCCATATATTAAAATCTCACATTCAAAATTTACTGGCAGAGGGTAGTGTTGAACCTAGGCTGCCTTTATTGAACAAAGCGATTTCAGTCTTAAGACTTTTTGTTTTGTTTTTGTTTTTGTAAAGTGTTTTACGGCGCTCGCAACTGCATAGGTCATATGAGCGCGCGGGACACACCTAATATTTTCAGTTGGTAGGAAATTTTGAATTTTGCCCGGGTAGCGACCGAAGCCTACTCTTATCGATTTTATACCATCAAGGGATCTTTAACGTGCGCAACTTGCACACGGGCCCTCCGAGATTTTTCGCCCTTGTCCGAGAAGGCTAGGTGTAGATCTTTCCTACCAGAAGATCAGGGGTGTGGCAGAAAGACAGCAGTAAGGAGGAGCCAAGGAGTAGCAGTAGAAAGGCTGCAGAAAGAGTCAGGAGCCCAGAGGAGGGGACAAAGGAGGTGAGGGGGTGGGGGCAGAAAGTGGAAATGAAAGCAGACGACAGAACATTGCTAGAGAACAGGAAAGGAGGTGACAGGAGACAGTTTTAGAGAAGAAAATTTTTCGGTCGCTACCCGGATTCGAACCCGGGACCTTTGAATGAGAGGCCAACACCTTAACCTCTAAGGCCACGGGAGCCCCCTTTAAGACTTTTCATTGATGTTATGGTGATCATTTTGATTTGGGAGCGAATTTCGCGCTTTTAGTGCCTGAAAGAAAATCTTTTAATTAATAAGAATAGATCTAGAATTACATCAGAAAGAGAGTTGTAAAATTTTTATGACAGTTGGGAGGCGGAAAGCGTTTGTTCATGCAGGAGACACAGCGTTTTGAAGAGTGAGTTCGTAGGGAAACGACTCAACCGTGCAACCCCGGAAAGCGTCCGTGCACAGTACAAACCGCGCAGTCATGGAACAGTCTTCGATTGATGGCTGACCTCTACCTTGAGAGTTGAAGCAGAACAGTCGACGAGTCCACCTCGTGCCGTGTCGGTCTGTGAGAAAATCGGTGAGAGGTCACGGGGGGCAGTAAGCGTGCGTAGCGAAACCCGCGGCTAGGCCCAGTGTTTTGACTGGCTGCTGAACGACTCGACACGGATGCGACACGGTGAGGTGTCGTGACTTCAAGGTCTCGGACACTTTTCAGAGTTCCCCGAATATTTTGTTTGCGAATGAATCGCAGAAATTCACTGTGCATGTGAAAGCCTGCAGATTCACTGAGGGTTTTGTCTTGGCTTACACACACACGTTGTTCGTTCATGTGCTTCTGTGCTGTGTAGGCTACGGGGTGTTGTCCCTTTGGATTTCATCGCAATCATCACGATACAACGATCGAATTTGGTAAGTCGGTTGCTGTCTCTTGACTCTACAATCTAAATATTAGCGAGAATCTAGATCTGAAAATCTAGGGATCTAGATCTAGATCTAGATTCTAAATCTAGATCTAGAATCTAGAAATCTAGATGGAAAACAGGACAGAATGATGCTGAATCACTGTTCAGGCTGTGAACAAGGAGGCCAGATGATTGATACAGCGGAGAAGAAGAATCGAACGTTAGTCTAACTGTGTTGTTCGGCAATATTAGATTATTCTAGAATCTTATCTAGATCTAGATATAGATCTAGAGATCTATATCTAGATTTAGATCTAGATCTAGATCTAGATCTATATCTAGATCTAGATCTAAATCTAGATTTCTGATCAGTAGTTCCCACCCCCCTTATTTGAGCCTAGATCTATATTCTAGATCTATATTCTAGATCTAGATCTAGATCTAGATCTAGATCTAGATCTAGATCTAGATCTAGATTTCTAACTAATATCTAATCTCTAGATCTAGATCTAGAGCTATCAAACCTCGTTTGAGGCGGCGAGCTAAGGCTAAGATATGAAACCTAATGCCTAACAACTGCAAAACATCAAATTATGGTAAAATGAGGGGGGGGGGGGGGGGGGCCCCCCACCTTATTTTTTTTCAGGTCTGAAACCC